GGTCTGCACTGCCTGGGGGGCAGCATTAATTGGGGAGTACATTCCTGAGGAGACACCTGTCACTTCTCACCTGAGCCTCCCTTCCAAGCTTGTCTCATCCCGGGGATGAGCAGGGAGTTTATTGCAGACATGAGCTCATGGCTCTCTGGGTGGGCTGACTGGGGATCCCTGCCCCCCGCCCCCAGGTTCAGCTGGATGCTGCCACGACTTGTTTGTCTTGGCACCTGCGTCAGGTACCCCTGACCTCACAGACCGGGGGCACCGGGGCTGAAAATGATGGCTGGGCTGGAAGGGCCCTGGGAAGGAGGGGCCATGGACTCCTCTGGCCTGCTCTGTCCACCTCCCCACCCCCATCCGGGGCAGGAACAGGCAGGAAGATGATGCTGACCTGTCTGTACGCTGGCAGAGAAACTGAGGCGTTGAGGTGGGGTTGCTCTTCACGGGCACCATTCTACCCCTGTATGTCGTGCAGTGTCGGGCGGGCACGCTTGGCTGCTCACTGGACAGCTAAAAGCCAGAGTCCACCCAGGCCAAGGCCCCCTGAAAACTCTGCTCCCACCCCTAGGGTGGGGGCAGGGAGGGACAGGAGTTGAGAGCACTTCTCCAAAAAACCAAACTCACTGCCGTGGAGTTGATGCCAACCCTCTAGGACAGGGTATACCTGTCCTGCGCATTGCAGGGGTTGGACCTCTTTATGGGAATACAAAGCCTCACCTTTTTCTTATGGAGCTGCTGCTGGTTTTGAACTATTCAGTGTGCAGAGGTCTGGCCCATGTACTGCTGAGAGACAGAGCGAGAGCGAGAGCGAGAGCGAGAGAGAATATAGCCTCCTCTTTAGGAGCAAGGGGGTCGGGGAAGAGATGAAAACCCTTATGCTTACAGCTGTAGAGCATTTTACACGTGTGTGGCTCTGCCCTGGATATCAGACAGGTGTGATTCCCATTGGTTCTTGCCCTGTGACAGAGTAGAACTGCAGTGACTGAGCCCTGCTGGTGCAGTGGTTAAGCGTTCGGCTGCTAACCAAAAGGTTCGGCCCACCAGTGTTCCATGGGGGAAAAGCTCTGGTCTGCTCCCATAAAGCTAATCTGGTGTCAATGTGAGGATTAAACGTAAAGGGGTGGAGTCTAGCCTGTCAATCAGGTCACAGCCAATGAGGCCTCTGGGTGGGCATGGCCTTCTTCTGGGGATTCTGGGAACTCCTGTCTTCCTCCCTGGAGGCAGGAGACACTCTCTCTCTAGGCTCACTCTCTGGGAAACATTGCAGCTGACAAGACACATGGAGCTCTATGCTAGTGCCCTGAGCTGGAGGAACCATGTGGAGACCCCTGCCAGTGTTGAGATGCTTCTACCGCCACTGGATCCACAAGACTTTCCACCCACTGGCCTGTGGTCTTCCTGCATTCGGCATCATTGTATGTGTTGTGTGAGTCTAAAGAAGACTTTTTAGGTTGGTATCAGACCTATAGGCTAATATTGGACTTATGGACTTGATCTGGCCTGGGCTGAGATGTTTTCTCAATTGCTCTTGTATATAAAGCGCTTTCTTATACACATATGCGTGTCTATGGATTTGTTTCTCTAGTCTACTTGGACTAACACAGGTGACATAGACTAGATGACACACCTGCACAACCACAGCACTCTTGGACGACCTGGAGCTGATCACCTTGTCCTTTGTCCTGAGGGACGGGGGTGGGTTAAACTTCCCGTCTTTCAGATGGAGAACCAGACAGAGGTTAGCTGACAGCTCGAGGGGGGAGGACAGGATTAAATCAGGCGTTCCTTGCTTCTGCCTCAAATCCTGCCTCTTTCTACTTGAAGGTGCTGGTGCCCATGAAAAAAGGTAGCAGGGAGAGGGCTTAGAGAGCGCTCCTCGAGAGGTGAGCACTAACCAACCAACCAAACCCATCCCCTCCAGTCGATTCGGACTCACAGTGCCCCCATGCAGGGTTTCTGAGACTGTCCATCTTCACGGGAGCAAACAGCCCCATTTTTTCCCCTCCAGGAGTGACTGGTGGGTTTGAACCTCTAGCCTTTTGGTTATCAGCCTATCACCGAGCCTGCAGGGCCACCAGAACTCCTGAGTGAATGGCACACCGCACTTTTATACACAAGGGCGATAGGCAGGAGGCCCCCTGGTTATGGCTACCATGCTGGGAACACAGCAGCTGTAGGTGGGAGCTCTGCGGAGCAAGGCCGTGTGTGGGGTTAGGAACACACAGCCTGAAGGCACCATCATGGCCCGTGAAGCCAACCTCTCCTTCGAGCCCTCCTTGGGGACACAGATGAGGCTGACTGTGAGGTGGGCCTCACCTTCGTGGACTCCCAGTTGCCTGGCTCAGGGGCCCCCGAAGTAGCCTGTCTGTGCTGCCGGCACTGTGGGCAGCTCCGGGCGAGCCTGTGTGCTACACGGCCCTGTCATGGGACCCAAAGAGCTTGCCTTAGAAGCTTTTGGGGAAGGAGCCCGGAGGCATCTTGGTGACCTGGTGGGCTGCCGTCCACAGGATCAGCAGTTTGAAACCACCAGCCGCGCTCCATGGAAGAGAGACAAGGCTTTGCACGCCAACTCTCAGCGGCACTTCTACCCCAGCCTACAGGGTTGCCGTGAGTTGGCCTCGACTAGATGGCAGGGAGTTCTTTGTTCGTTTGTTGGCTTTGGGGGTGTCCAGGCCTTTCTGCCCCGTCTGCCTGAGCCTGAAAGCTTCCCGGGAGCCTGTTTGGTGTCAGGGCCGCCTGCAAGCTTCTATGACAGGCATCGACCAGGGACTGACCCTGCACCCTGGGAATTGAATCTGGGACTCCGGCAAGGGAGGCAAGAATTCCATCACTGAACCACCAGGTATAGCTCTTCCTCCACAATATCCGGTAGCAGAAGACACTTTTTTTCCCTCCTTATGAAGCACTTTTTAATCTTCGTCCTGGAGTCTGCCTCCTCCTCCAAGAATCCTAGACCCGGGCTGATGCCCAGGCGGCTGGGGGAAGAAGGGCCTCTCACACTGAGCCCAACACTCCCCACAGATCTCCTCGTCCAGCCCCTACGAGCTTCTGATTTGGGTGGTCGCTGCTTCCTGGGGGGCCCAGCGTCCCCTGCGCTAGCAGGACCACCCCCTGGTGACCCCGCCCCTCTCGGGGTGACGCCAGGCCAGGGGGCTCAGAAGCTCCCAGCAGAGTTGGCCGCCTGGGTCCTTCCCTGCCTGGCAGGTGCCGTCTCTCCTCTTGTTTCCCCAGCAGAATCCTGGTCACGCTGGGCACCCTCTCGGCCGTGCACCCAGGAGTTTACAGGCCACGGTTCAAGGGCCTGTTTCAACGCCAGGGAATCAGGGTCATCCCAAGGGCAGGGTTATCTCCTTGGGAAGGGGAAGACGTAAGGGGGAATCCAGAGCACAAGCTAACATCGGACGAGGGACTCAAGTTGGGACGGGTTATCTGGTAGGAGGACCCGCAGACCAAGGCCACTCAGACCCGGTCTCTGACATCATCAGCGGCTGGAGAGGTCCCCTGGCCGTGGATGCTGTTGGGTCCCATCAGCCATGTGACAGAGCAGACCTGGGGTTTCTAGGCGGTCACTTTGATGGCAGCAGGTGGCCAGGCCTTTCTCCCGAGGAGCCCTGAGTGGGGGTTCTAACTGCCAAACTTTTGTTGGGCTTCCAGGACTCTTCTGCAGGCCAAAGCCTTTCATAATTGTTAGAGACACCACCCCCCCACGCACACACACATACACACACCTGGCAACCTCAGATGAACCCACACTGTATGGGTTATACACGCTTGACTTCAACTACCTCCCCTCCCCTCCCCTTCTCTTCCCACAATTGCTCCCCCCACTGCAAAAGCACCCCCCATCTAGCCTAGACCTGGGGGGGCCGGGGCTGTCCCTGAATATTAACTGTGTTGAGCGCTGTGCCCTGGAGGCAGGTGTGGGAGGCAGGCTCCCCAGGCCGAGGGGCCGGCTAGAGGTGGGCTTGCTGGGCCTTAATTCTGCAGCCTGTGATGAAACCTGAGGACGGCCTGTCTGTTCCCCCAAGTCAAGCTCCCCTAGCCCTCTCTTCCCCGCCCCCGCCCCCAGCTTCAAGGCCAAGCCTGGTGGTTCTAAAGATCGACATGTGACTACCCTCAGAAACCTCCATCGGACCCCCATCTGTGCCTACTGCTTCACTGGGCACGGTACCCCCAGGCACAGCCAGCAGGGTCGTCGCCTGACTCCAAGAACGTTCTGCTGAGACCCAGACTCACCAAGGTGGTGAACAGCGTCCCAGGGGCAGGCCGGGGAAACTCAGGGTGAGTGGAGAGGGACTAGGGACTCACAGGGCAGTGCCCAAGACCACCCGGCAGAGATGAACCCTGAGAGATTGTCCTCCGGCCAGAGCCCGTGCCCAACCCCCTTCCCCAAAGCCAGCCTTCTGAGGGGCCTCTCAATAGTTCCTTCCCTTTTCACGCTGCTGCCGCTGAACTTGAGTTCCGGGCCTCGGTACCTTGTCCTACCCTAATAGCTGAGCGCCCTCCATCCACTCCCATCCAACACACAGAGGCCTGGTGTGAGGCTCTGAAGCTGTACATCTTGATGGGAGCAAACAGCCTCGTCTTTCTCGCATGGAGGGGCTGGTGGGTTTGAACCTCGTGGCAGCCTTCCTGGCAGGCTGTCTGATGGAAGGCGTGTTTATGATTTACTGTCTGTGGCAGGCCCTGGACTAGACCCTGGCCCCACGTTTTCCCGTTGACTCTTTTTTTTTTTCCCCCAGGGGATAGCGCGAACGCAGTCCCCCACTACCACAAATTATGCAGTCGAGTTTCCCACATTTGGGGAAATCGCAGGGGTCAGCCCACCCGGAGTGCAATAGGTGAGCCTTGCCCTGGGAAAACCACCCCCGTTGACTCTTTACAACACCTCTGTGAGCCGGGTCTCACCAGCCTGGCCTGACAGATGAGGTGACAGTGGCTCTGAGAAGTAGCTCGCTCAATGTCACATGGCTGGGGTACAAGTGCTACACAGTTTTAGACTACTCTCTGTCCTGTCCATAGAGTGGCCCCCACCCCTGCTCCCTGCCAAGCCCCCACTCCATAAATCTGATGGTCTAGTCTCATGGTCCTTTTAAAAAAAAATCATTTTGTTGGGGGCTCGTACAACTCTTATCACAATCCGTCCATCCATCCATTATGTCAAGCACATTTGTACATTCGTTGCCCTCATCATTCTCAAAATATTTGCTTTCTACTTGAGCCCTTGGTATCAGCTCCTCATTTTTCCCCTCCCCCCCCGCCCCCCCCCTCATGAACCCTTGATAATTTATAAATTATTATTATTTTGTCATGTCTTACACTGTCCGATGTCTCCCTTCACCCACTTTTCTACTGTCCATCCCCCAGGGAGGAGGTTATATGTAGGTCCTTGTAATCGGTTCCCCCTTTCTATCCTACCTACCCTCCACCCTCCTGGTATCACCACTCTCACCACTGGTCCTGAAGGGATCATCGCCCTGGGTTCTCTGTGTTTCCAGTTCCTATCTGTACCAGTGTACATCCTCTGGTCTAGCCGGATTTGTAAGGTAGAATTGGGATCATGATAGTAGGGGTGGTGGGGGGTGGAAGCATTTAGGAACTAGAGGAAAGTTGTATGTTTCATCATTGCTACACTGCACCCTGACTGGCTCGTCTCCTCCCCGAGATACTTCTGTAAGGGGATGTCCAATTGCCTACAGATGGGCTTTGGTCCTTTTAAAAATGGAATTGTGGTGTGTCCTGTTTCTTAAACCCTTCAGTGGCTCCTCACAGAATACAGAATTACAACCCTCAAACCCTCCATCCGCCCTCCATCTGCTCTCTGCTCTCTCCCACTAACTGGACGCCGACCACAGCAGGCTCTGTGGTCATGAAGAAGCCCTGGTGCTAGAGCAGGCTACCCCTGGGCTGCTAACCAGGGTCCCGGGTCCAAACTCCCCAGCAGCTCCATGGGGGAAAGAAGGAGCTGTCTGCTCCCGTAAAGACGTGTGACCCCGGAAGCCCTGTCCTCGAGGGGAGCTAGGACTCAGGATCCGCCCACGGCAGAGAGTGAGTGAGCGGAACATTCCAAAACCTGGTGCCCCAGCTTGTTTTTTCCCTCTGTGTCGGATGTTCTGTTCCCGGTGCCCCTCCCTGCTCCACACCCCACTTCTCCAAACCCTGCCTTCTCTGTCTGTCTGTCTCTGCCTCACAGCCTGCTGGCCACAGTGCCCCCACTGGGCTCTCTTGTTCTGTCTCCTCACACACCTGTGCTTCCACGATGTTAACGGGAGTGGTGGTCTGCTGACAAAATGTTGACCTCCCGTTTAGGAGACCTGGCCTCAGTTCCCAGCCACCTGTGTGTGGAGGCTCCCCTGGTGCTATGATGCTTGACAGTTGTCAGCAGAGCGTCCACATGAGGAACTAGGAAGAAAGGCCTGGTGACCACCTTTCAGTTCCACTGGCCCAGAGTCACCATGAGCTGAGGCCGACGCAGTGACCGCTAGCAGCCGCAACAACAGCATGCCCTGGACTGCCAACCCGGGGAGGACATGCACCGTGCCCCTGGAGGGTAGACAAGGGCCTGGCACCGAGTCCCTCGTGTTTGTCCGGTGAATGAATGCGGGCGGGCGGGAGTTGAGTGAAGGGCCAGGGCGGACCTTGGGGCAGGAACAGTGTCACCATTACTCTTTGCTCTCTGGTCTCTGGCCTGTGCCTGGCACACCGTGGATGTGCAGTCAAGGTTGGCAGGACAAAGTGGGACGGAGGAGGGGGTAGAAGCACAGGTTAGGTTGGAGTCTCCCTGCTGGGGAGCTCAGCTCAGTTCCGCCCACCAGGGGGCGCAGGAGGCCCGGGAGCCAGAGTCACCTTGCTCTCTTAGGAAAAGGTAAAAATATTAAGACAAAACAGAAAAACCCCGTTGCTGTTGCGTCCATTCCAAACCTGCGAGGCCGTGCGTCTCAGAGTAGCGCTGTGCTCCCTGGGGCCATCGGTGGTGGGTTTTTCTGTTGTCGATTGCCAGACTTTTCACCCAAGGTGCCAGGAGACAGGCTGACACGGTCCAGCTTTCAGCTACCAGTGAGCATGTCAACCATGTGCACGGCCCAGAGACGCCTGAGACTTGGCTGCAGAGACCCTGGGGCTGCTGCACCCCACAGGAGGGCTTCGGAAGAGGCTGGAGCCAGGAAAGGAGCCCACCTACAGCGAGATCGCTCACAGAAGCAGGCTGGCTCTTACCTGGTGGGACAGGTAGGAGCTGGCCTCCTGTCCTGGGGGCTAGATGCACCCAGGCAAGGGCTACTTTTGGAGGGGGCATCCCTTGGAGCTGGAGGCAGTGACTGGGGTCAAGTTGGCTGATCTGGGAGACACCCGAGAACTGCTAGCTGGAGGGGCATGGGGGTCGGGGTGGGGGTGGGGTTGTTTGCACAATCATGACAATGCTCTTCAAGAGCCCTGACCAATGGGTCGCCATTCCAGTTGGGCTGCTAACCGCAAGGTCAGCAGTTCAAAGCCACCACTGGTTCTGCAGGAGAAAGATGAACCTTTCTACTCCCGTGAGGCTGCAGTCTGGGAAACCCACAGGGGCAGGTCTCCCCTGTCCTAGAAGGTCATTGTGAGTTTGAGGAGGCTGGGCGGCAGTCACAAGTGCCGCCTGTGCCAGGTTCAGGTATCCCCTGCTGAGAATAGACCGCCTGCCTTTCACCTCCCTCCAGTGGCCAGGAGCGCATCTCCAGGGCCGGCTGCCCCCCTCAGCCCCTCACTGACCATGGGAACCTGGGCAAGGTCTTTCACCTTTCCCATGCCTCAGTTTTCCCACCCATTGACAAGGATGATAACAGCAATACCCATCTGGTGCAGATGCGAAAATGATTGAGCAGACGAACCCAGGAAAGCCTCTTTGAACAGTGCCTGTCACTTAACAAACGCTGCTTTTTAGGGGGGCGGGTGCAAATGGTTAAGGCACTTGGCTGCTCACTGCGAGACGGAGGGCTCAGGTCCCCACAGAGCCACCGTGGAAGAAAGGCCTGAAGGCCTATTTCCCCCAAATCAGCGCTGGCAGCCGCTCAGTGGAGCACAGTTGTCTGTCACACTCGGGCAGGTGGCCACGGGCTCGAGCCGGCTCCAGGGCAGCTAGAAAGAAGGGGAAATGTTATTATGCTTTTCCGCAGCAGCAGCCCTTGGAGGCTTCCCTGGGGTGGCACACGAGCCTCTCGTGGGACCAGCCCCCTGGCAGCATGGCCACCATCTTTGGGTCGGTCCCCAGCACCCAGCCAACCCTCCCTTGGGAAGTCTGTAGGCAGGGAGCCAAAGGCTGAGCTCTCTCAGCACACTGGGTTGATGACCGGGAAGAGAGGGCAAAGATATGATCGGATCACCTTTGGGTTTCAGATCTAGAGAGAACGCGCGCTCGCACGGAGGCCCAGAGATGCCAAATGACCTCACTCCGACAGGTAGAAACAGGGCAGAGAGAAAAAGAGGGCACTGACTCCCCACCACATGGGGCCTCCTAGGGCCAGCTGTGTGGCCACCCTCCTAAGCCAAATGAGACAGCTAGTGATGCTTGTGTAAATGTTGACGCCACAAAGCCTTTGTACTGTGAAGCATTGTTTCAGCGTGCGCGTGCACATGTGTGTGTTTTGCCATTTACCCTCCCCTGTGAAACTTGCAGGAGACCTGGAGGTGTCGTGGTTACACGTGGGGCTGTGACCCGCATGGTCAGCAGTTCAAAGCCACCAGCAGCTCCGTGGGAGAAAGACTGGGCTTTCTGCTCCCGTAAGCAGTTACGGTCTCGGAAACCCTCAGGGGTCGCTCTGCATCAGCATCGACTGGATGGCAGCGAGTTCGGTTTTGGGTTTGGTCAAATTTGCAACAAGAGCACCCCAGGGGGCTAGATCGAGGGCGCGGGGGTTCCACCGGAAGCAAGGTAAGCACGGGTTTACCTGTGCTTATTACGAATCTCCAAAGAACGGTTTCATGTCGCTTGTGTGATTTTCACCACATCATTGACACGATAAAACCCATGTGCCACTGTTGATGATGGACTAATAAGTAGGCCTGTGCTTATCTTGCTTCCCGGTAACCCGCCCCACAGGAGGGAACAGAGCAGGCAGGCCTGAGCAAAGCAGGCCGAGAGACTCAGGAGCTGGCCCTGGAGTGACTGCTCCATCCACCCACGCCGCCGCCGACTCCACGCTGACTCGCAGCAACCCTGGAGAGAGTGGAGCTGTCCATCTGGATTTCTGAGCCTACACGTCTTTACGGGAGCAGACAGCCTCCCCTTCCTCCCCGGGAATGACTGGTGGGTTCAATTGCTGACTGACCTCATAGCCTATTCCCTAACTCATAACCCGACAACGCGCCACGCACTGCCCTCCGAGTCAATGCCAACTCATAGGACAGGGGACAGCGCCCGCCAGGAGTCCTGAGACGGTGGCTCTTTATGGGAGTAGAAAGCCCTGTCTTTCTCCCGAGGAGCCGCCGAGCTGGTTTCCAGCCGCTGACCTTGCGGTTAGCAGCCCAGCTCGTGACCACTGTGCCTCCAGGGCCCGTGATGTCACACGTGGTCAAGACCATCTGCTAGCTGGCATCCTGGTGACCCGTGTCGGAGCAGCACGGCGCTGCCCTGCCCTGGCAGCACCCTCCTGGCTGTGGCATGCAGGAAGCAGATCTCCACACCCTTCATCCGAGGTGTCCCTGGGTGGGCTTGAACGCACAGCCCTTCGGTTAGGAAACAGTTGAGCACTTGGTGGTTTGTGCTGCCCAAATGCTCTTTAAGCTCCTGCTGTTATTGAGATCGGCGCGCCGGTGCCTGGGCCTTACGGCCTCTTGAGCCTGTAATCCAGAGGACAGGGTCAGTCTCTTTGACCTAGACCGTCTGCCCCCTTCACAGTCCCACAGCAGGTCCTCAGTTAATGTGCTCGGGATAA